AAAGAAATTATATGGGAAATTAACTAACGACCAGAGACGTAACAATATGAATCATCCAAATACTCAGTTTTAAAAACATACTATGAGAACATGTAACAGAAGCTGAACTTGGTAGTAACACTTATTTAAAGCTATTTTTTTCTCAAATTGGATAAGTACAACATATTTAACTTCTCTTCTGAAAGGAGGATAAATATTTAGTTATCTTTCCAGTGAAAGAATGTTTTAACACAAATAGCAAATGAATGAGTGCTGAGTAGGACTTTATATCAACAGGTGATGGAGACAAAGATGATGGAGTCAGTACAAGGACACAATACATGACAACTGCTAAAAACATCTTGATTGCTGGAGCAGATGCTGTAGAGAGACTTATGTCCTCCTATAAAGAGGTATGTTAATTCAATATACCTTGTTTTGTTGTTCTTTAAATTGTGTATTGAAAGAATGAACTTTAACCCTATCACTGCAGCTGGGACGTATATTTCTCAGTGCTCCCACACACTGCCACTGCGACAAATGTCTCAGAGGCAGTGAGTGGGTTAATTTATAAAAGTATATTTATTTTTCTATGAATAAAGTTTGAATGGCAGCACTTCATTACAAAAAAAATCTCACCTAAGCAAATTTGATAATCTGAGCAGCAATTTTCAAAGTTGGACATTTTCTTATTCCAAAATTATTCTGAGAAAGAAAGTCTACCCTCAAAAAGTTTTTATTATTCCAAATTATTCTGCAGGAGGAAAGTGTACCCTCAAAAAGTTTTTTTATTCCAAAATTATTCTGCAGAAAGAAAGTGTACCCTCAGAAAGTTTTTATTCCAAAATTATTCTGCAGAAAGAAAGTCTACCCTCAGAAAGTTTTTTATTCCAAAATTATTCTGCAGGAGGAAAGTGTACCCTCAGAAAGTTTTTTATTCCAAAATTATTCTGCAGAAAGAAAGTGTACCCTCAGAAAGTTTTTTATTCCAAAATTATTCTGCAGAAGGAAAGTCTACCCTCAGGAATTAATTGAGTTACTAGACAATAGTGATGGGATTTGCCTACATTAAAAAAGTAAATATTTGCTTAAAATTGTTATTTTATGACTGGCTTTTTATTGTAAATTGCAATATTTCAAGGGTAAAAGTTGCTGTGAAAATGCACAATCTTATCTGTATCTTGTTTTTATCGACAATTTTAGCATTGTCATTTTCTTGAATAATGCCCATATGTTCCAAAACAGCTGAGGTAACTGCTGCAGCAGATCTACCTGAAATACAGAACCTGTCAGCTTCTCTCACTACCATTGGAAGCTGTGTCCTCATTTGTTTATTTATTTTAGGATTTTGGGATTTCGATGTAGAAAGTGCAGCAAAATAATCCAAACAAGCCTTTGATTAACTCTTTCATTTGGTGGAGAGATGTACAGTTTTTTTTTTTTCAAACTTTGGTTCACTTGCAGCAGTTGAAAATATAATTGGAGGAGTTTTAAACTTCATAAAATTATAATAAAAGGCAACTATTGCACACCCTGCTGACTAGCCATTGCAAAATAAAATTTTTGACTAAGTAAATTCTATGCACCCTATATATATGTGTGTGTGTGTGTGTGTGTGAATGCATCTGTGTTATTTTTGAATTTTATAATTTCGTAATGTATGGTTTTAAGCAACTTCAAATTTTTCTCTCTGCAAACAAAAGATTGCTTGAAAAGGAACTCTTTGTAGGTTTATATACGTGATTTTGCTGAATGAAGTGTTTTCTTAGGTCACCGAGTTAGCAGGATACACATCTCGAGTATCTAAGATGTTTACGGTGTTTGAAGATGTTAGTCAAGGCAAATACCAAAGAACCCTTGCAACATTGAATACAAGAGAGAGTAAAAAGTCTTTCAAAGTACAAGGACTTACTTTTATAAATGGCATGCCAGAAATCAAAGGTTTGTATCACTTAGTTGGTCTATTGCATGTCTGCATAGGTTTTAAGCAGAAAATTTAAAACATTTTTCTTCTGAGTACTAAGTTATTTTAAACTGATTTCAACATAATAAAATGTAGGGATATAGAGTTGGGTATTTATTGGTGTACATGTACTGCACAAGTTTATAAAATGAAGTCTGATAAGTAATGTGTACATGCAGTGTATTATATCATTGCTTAACCTTTTGACTGTGGCTGCTTTAAACTTGCACAGAATTTTTGTGAGCCATACACAGTATACAGCACACTTGCATTCAACTGTCAGATGGAGACCGTACACTATACAGCAAATCAGCAGTCAATGGGTTAAGAAAGACTAGCTCTTACAATATTAGCTTTATGAAAAAACACTTTATTTTTCAGCATCCTATGAGCTTTATCCAATAACTTTGATTCTGGACAGCAATTTCAGTATGATATTTCATGAAATTGGATTATTTGATAAGAATTATATGATTTATTTTCTTTTTTCTTACAGAATTCACTATCTTTCATTCATACTTAAAACTGTACTTATTTGCCTACATGTATATTTAATGGATGTTTTCAACAGTTCAGAAGAACAATAATAATTTTGTGGAAGATGGTTTTAGATGCATGCCGTGCCTAAAATGAAGTCGCGTTAAGACCAATTTGGTCTTGAATTTTTTTATGGAACTGATCGCATATATACATTTTTAAAACATTCTGTATATTTGATTTTGTGATGTACCACTATACATGAGTCCTATAAGTGAAGAGATGAAGTCATGGTTAGTCTTGCAGACTATAAATAAGAGCAAATCTTCCTGACTTTCAAAGAGTTATGGTAATCAAGTAGGAGTGTTGTTATTAAAGATTGTTTCTATGGCCATCCATTGAAAGGTGTGTCATTAGAGTCTTTCAACAATGACAACTGAAATGAAGTATCTACAATTAGAAAAAAATCATGACTGGCTGTCGGCACCTGGTGATTGACTGAGGCAAAAGATGATTGAATAAGCTTGGAAAAAGCAACAGATGTTAGACTGTGTCCCAATTCATGGAATCCTCTACCATAGAGGCCAAGATTAGTTTTATCTCCAGCTATGATGGACATTAAAAAAACTGCTGTATGGTAGTTGATGATGAATCTGAAACCAGTTTGTCAGAAATGCAAATAGTATAGTACAAAGCACAAACTGTAAAAAATGAGTGGATAGAAATGTCCATTATGGTTTGATTTTCACATATATGTGAAAATATATGTTGCTTTTCACATTTTTTTGCACAGCAAGTATCAAAAATGATAGAATTACATGAGGTGTTTCAGTGTGCTTGTGTTTTAACAGTTCAATCTGCTGGAGATGGTATGTTGGTTTGAGGAACATTCTAGTGGGAGGAACTGGGTCTCTTGATCCCTTCAGTAAGGTAAACAATATCCATAGTATACATGGAGGTTGCTACTGATCATATTTATCACTTGGTTATACCTTTTCACTCTTATAATAAAAAAAAAAAAAGGGATTTTACAAGACAAAAATACAATAATTCATTGAGACCAACAAATAATGTTATAGTGATTTTAAATGCTTACTTATTGTTTTATTATATACAGAAATTACACCCACGAGAAGCTTTTCTTGTTGTCTGTCTACATATTAAATTTTCTTACTTTTCTGTAGGAACAGTTATTGAAAGAGAGGATGGTATCCTGAAACTGGAACATGTGCCTATCATCACTCCTAATTGTGATGTTGTAGTTCCAGACTTATCATTTACTGTGAGTATTGGTGAAAAAAGAGTAATTGAGTACAGTTACTGAACAAGTTTAAAATGTTTCCACTATCTATAATAATAATAATAATAATAATAATATTATATATATATATATATGTATGTGTGTGTGTGTGTATGTGTATTTAAAACTTCACTAACATTAACTATATTTGGTTAATAGATGTGTTGTCCTCATATACAGGTAATTACAATGTGAATGAAACCATAACTAAACAGTATGTAAAAACGTTTCTTATATGTGTTAGATAAAGGTATAATGTCTAGTTTCTAATGAACAGATGAGTACATGTTAGTAGAGCTTTCACTGTTGTATGTTACAATGTGACATTCTTTATCTGGTTATAAGGTAAACACAAGTTTTTGTATGAGTTTAGTATATACCTATATATGATTCTTTTGGCTTAGAATCTATTCATATGAGTGGGAGAGTGGGATTAAAAGGTCCATACATAATGCAAAACTAATTGCAGGCATCTATAACTTATTTACTTTGTATTTATAAATTTAGATGACCAAAGGGATGCACCTGTTAATCACTGGACCAAATGGATGTGGGAAAAGTTCCTTATTCAGAATATTGCGTGGACTTTGGCCAACATATGCTGGCCGTTTAGTAAGACCACCAACAGGACAGATGTTCTATATTCCTCAGAGGTATGTCAGAGTATAGTCTGTGTGGCATGATGATTATTGTTATTAAAGCGTGATAACTGTGGTGATGTGAACATATCATATTTATACTTAAGATTAAGCAATAACTTTGTTTGTTGTTAAGTGCAAAGCTACACAAAAGGATATCTATTCTATTCTCACTGTGAGGATCAAAACCTGATTTTTAGCATCACAAGCCCTTAGATTTACTGCTCTACCACCAGAGGTGCAAGCAATATTATAATGAAACTGATTATATGTATTATGAACAAAAGTATTCAGATTCTTATGTTAAAACATATCTCTAAACTACAGAGTATGAAAATTCTACTTGAAAACTTGTTGCCCTGTAAACAGTCATTTTACTTTAAATTCTTATGCTTTTCTTTTGGTTTTGTTCCCTTCAGTTTTTTAACAATATAGTTGCATTAGGCTGTAACTAAATATATATTACAGTACTTAAAGGAAATAAACTAATTTCATGTTATCTATTACAAAGTGAGAAAAACTGAATTCAATTTTACTGTAGAGTGTTTACTTTATTCTTGAATTTGTTTGGATAATTGACTATTAAACTTTTTCCAAATATTCATGTCTGTTCAAGTGTGAATATTTTCATTTATTACCCTCTTTTTTGTAAGGTAATTGTCTGCCTCATTAGCTTTATCATTGGTAGACAATTCCGGTAGTGAAGCTGATTTTAGCATGCCACAATGCAATGAAGATTGAAAAGGAATGGCGTTATAGATGTGTTCTTTACTCTACTTACATCTTATCCCAAGAGTTTGCTGTTATAACCCCATAGTGATTGTTTTGTAACACTGATTCATTTTGTATAGAACACAAATTACTAATTACACAAATACAGTGTTAACTACGTGCTCACTTTCAATATATGTTGACTGTAGTAGGTTTATTTATTCAGATACATGCTTCCATACTTTTAACTTGATTTACAGAAATGTAAATATGTTCATATGTTTCTTAACGAATTGAAAGAAGATTGGTTGAAACACATGTTTTATGGAATATATATATAATGTTAGTTGTTGTTTTTACTCCAAACATGTGCTTAGTTTTTCTGGCTATGATTCGGTTTAAAGGATAATTTCTGTGAGCTTACACTGTTTGTCTTGTCTATTGGATAGTGTAGGCTCCAAAAGTTTCTTGACCATATTCATATCTTAGGTTTTGTGAACACAATTTCACCTGTATTTTATAAAGAGATATACTTATGTGTCCTTTCTGCTTGTTATAACTTACCAGACCTTACATGTCACTGGGAACTCTGAGAGACCAAGTTATTTACCCTGATACAGTGAAGGATATGAAGAAGAAAGGTCTGACAGATAAAGATTTGGCAAGTATCTTGGCCATTGTCAACCTTCAGTCAATTATCACCAGAGAAGGAGGTATGTTTACTGGAAAAATGAATGAAATTGTACATAAGAATTATACTTGTAGCAATATTAGTAAAAATTATATAAGTGGTGTACTCTCATAAGTATCACATTAATTGGTACTTTTATAAGATTGAAACAAAAATTATACAAGAGTTAACTTCCTTCAAATAAAATTTTTTGACCATGTGTCCATACACTAGAAATCAAGTGCAAAACTTTAAGTAAAAGATTGAACTAGTAATAAGAAAGAAAAGCATATTTTGCTTTTTAGTAATGTTTTTGTTTATGCCATATCAGCAAGTGCTGTGATTTCATACAAAATAATAACTATTTCTGAGAAGCCACAAAAGCTAGGCTATTATTGAAAGGCTCACTTAGACTGACCAAGAAAACTTAATTAATATAAAATAAATTCCAACTGAATCAAACTTTTTTTTTTTTCTTTAAATAAATGCTTTTACATGTCTGAACTTTATACTGAGTTTAGGCTTTCTTTGAAGATACTAGGTTAGATAAAGCTATGATAGATCACACATGTGACTTCTGGTATGTGACTTGCAGTTTTACAACTTCTTGCATTTTAATTTTTAATGGGGGGGTTTAGAGGCAAAACATTTGTTTTTGTCTCAGATTTTATCATAGTGTCCATTAAAAGAAGTTATCTTATTAACAGTAAACTGAATTTTGATACATGTAACAAAGTAACTATTCTTAAGTTTTCACTGCTTAGGAATATTAAATATCTTTACTACCTTCAATTGCAATTGTTGAAATAAACAAATTAGGCAGGACCTAATAAGATTTTATAGAGTCAGACGGCCAAATTATTTTCTCAAGGTTGTGTACTTTTAAAAGCTCATACTTAAGTCACCAAATCTTTACATAATATTTATAATGATTAGAAATGTTGTTCTGCATATTGTGTTATAGTGGAAGCAAGTAATGTTACAAATGTTAGACTTGTGCTAACATGTTGAAACATTATTTTCTGAACAACAGTAAAACAAGAGAATGAAATTTATCAGAAACCTTTCAAATGAAATAATGTTTTATGTTTGTTAAATGAGTAGCAATTAACATGGAATTTCTTATTTTACTTCTGGAACAGGCTGGGATGCTATTGGAGATTGGAAGGATATTTTGTCAGGTGGTGAGAAACAAAGAATGGGAGTTGCAAGATTGTTTTATCACAGGTAATAATATTATTTTTTTTGAGAAATTTCAACATTGATTAGACAACAATGTGTCATTGTTAACAACTTGATTTATACCTACATTTACCAGTATATATATATTTTTTTCTGGTTCACTTAAGTCATTCACTCTTTTTGATTTAACTTAGCTTTCTTCTTGTAGTTTACCAGCATTATCAAATTTGTCAACTTGGTGCATGAATTTTGGGACTTGACTTTTTTTAATTGTCAGGACATTCAATATTACACTTATTTGTATTTAGATTCATAAGTAACCCCAGTCTCACAACAGCCCGTTATAGGGCTTGTAATGCAAAAAAATTGCTTTTGATATCTTTGGTGGGTAAAACACAGGTAGCACATTATATAGCTTTGTGCTTAAAATAAACAAACAAACAGATACATATTTTTATCTTATTTTGATGTTTTTAGATTAGGCTAAGGTATTTGGCTTTTAAATCAGTTTACTTGGACCTATACCAGTTTTGACTTTCATGATAAGTAGATGATACAAGATATTTTTTTTACCCCAAATTTGTTCAGAATTGGCTTTTTTTGGGGGGGATAACTTGAAGTTAATAGTATATTCAAATATTAACTTTCAGTATCACTTTCTGTTTGGCTAAACCATTTAGATTTGTTTATTATGTTCTAGCCTTGGTACAGGTAGTTTCCTTTAATACCTTGTTTTTGTAAGTGTTAGATTAAAGTTGGACTGAATTTATCCAAGTGATTATTTGCTGACCCTGTTTTGCTCTGACTGATGCAAACTAAATTTGTAGAATACGAGTCATGACTCAAATATATATGGTATGTGAAATATATAACCTGAAGGTTAAAGTGGGTAGTTTTTCAGAATTGTGTAAAATGATTGAGTATAAAGATTTCTTAGAGTGCCACTAGAGCCATTCCCTTACTGTTCTTGATTGCCTTGGTTGGCATGTTTACCAGTTTGACCAGTTTTATATTATTGTTTTTTAATATGTATCCTGATATAGTTTACAATGCTTGTTGTACATAGATCCAGAATACTTTCTTGAGTAGGAATTAATATTACTTTTCTTATTTACATGCTGTTTCATATTTATTTTTTAAGTAAATTTTCTATCTAGTCCGATGTCTGAACATTTGATAAATGTGTACATCTTATTGTATGTTCCAAAACTGAAGAAGTTTAACATGTCAGCTATTAAACTCCTGTAGTCATTTCTTTAAATCGTTGTAGATAAACAATTTTTGAGAAGTTTTATTACACCTTCTAACTTTGAAGGTATTTTTCAGTCATACTAGATCAAAACTGAAGATATTTAACACATCAGCTAACTCTTGTAGATGTTTCAATCATGCTAGATCAAAACTGAAGATATTTAACACATCAGCTAACTTCTGTAGATGTTTCAGTCATGCTAGATCAAAACTGAAGATATTTAGCACATCAGCTAACTCCTGTAGGTGTTCAGTCATGCTAGATCAAAACTGAAGATATTTAACACATCGACTAACTCTTGTAAGGTGTTCAGTCATGTGTATGCATATATTGTACTTGAATACATTGGTTCACATGTTTTAGCAATATAATAACTTGGTACTTTGTAAAATGGATTTTCATCTCTTAAGAAGAACAGGGTTAGTTTATTTGTATATATGACTGATTTATGTATTAAGTTTTTTTCTGTTATGTTTTCTTGGTTTCATTACCATCTCATTATTAATACAGTGAGTTTTTTTTTATCTGTAAGCTTAATAATTCATTGTAAAAAAATACTGAAAAATGTAACTTTGTCATTAATTATTAATAAATGATATTTATTGATATAAATAACCATTAAAGCTGGTAGATATTTTTAAAACTTCTTTGGGAGAAAAAAGGTGGATATGGTTTTCTATTTTATTAATTGACCAAAATAATAGGAAAATGTGAATAATATGTTTTATGTGTTTTAGACCTCAATTTGCTCTTCTTGATGAATGCACTAGTGCAGTGTCTATTGATGTTGAGAGCAAGATGTATCAGGCTATAAAGGATTTTGATATTTCTCTTTTGACCATCACACATCGTCCCTCTCTGTGGTAAGTTTATCTTATCGTTCAGCATTTTTTAATGAAACTAAGTTCCATTTCTCTCTTTGTGCAGTCTAATGCAATGAATTTGCAAGTTTTCTTTCTCTCATTGTTCAATATTATGTAATCAAAAGCTCAATTTCCCTCACTGTTTATTATGTAATCAAATGTTTAATTTATTTCAATGTTTAGTGTTGTTTGATCAAAAGAAATTCAATTCTCTCATTGTGCAGTATTGTTTAATCAAAATAAGTTCAATTCTCTCATTGTTTAGTTTGGTTTGATCAATATTAGTTCAATTCTCTCACTGTTCAATATTGTTTAGTCAAAATTAGTTCAAGTCTCTCACTGTTCAATATTGTTTAGTCAAAATTAGTTCAAGTCTCTCACTGTTTAGTTTGGTTTGATCAAAATATGTTCAGTTCTCTCATTGTTCAGTATTGTTTAGACAAAATATGTTTAGTTCTCTCATTGTTCAGTATTGTTTGCTTATAGCTGAGATTGATATGAATTCACATGCAGTCTATATCGCTACAAAAATTTTTTTTGATGGATTAGATATAATACAGCTATATTTTTCTAGACAGAATTTTAAGTGACAATAAATGCTGAAAGATATAAAAAATATGGGTAGTTTCAAATTTCCTGTCATTTCATTATATAATTGGGAAAATAATGTGGTTAGTCTGCATTCTGAAAAAGGTATTTTGTAAACTAGGTTATGAGATTTTCTTGGTCATGTTGGCTTGTGTATATACCCCAACTACACAATACGTAATGAAACAAACAATGTTACTCACTGTATCTTCTACTGGTCACAATTTTCTGGTAAAATTAATAAAATTACTATGGTAGTTATGACTTCATTCTCAAGAGTATCAACTTTGTAGCAGTTGTGAAGTCTTGATAAAGAATGATGCATAAAACAGAATTTATATAATTTTAAGTACTGTTGATTATCAGCTTTTGATAGCATGTGTGCCAATTGGACAAGTAAACTTTATAACAATGAGGCCCAAGGTTTGAGTAATCGATATCTTCATGAGCTGCTTGCATATGTCGGGGTGACCTCTTGAGGTGACAGATTTCATTATAGAAGTGCTACATTTTATAGATGGTGTAATGGTTTTTCACCAACATGTCTCCATAATCTGTTCTACATACCATCCAAATCAGTCTGATAAATTGTAATCAAACAGTGTTCGAATGGTGGCAGTTGAAACACTTCAGAAGCGGTGATTAAAGGAATTTTTGATGTCATATTAATTGTTTGATGGGTAATTATATTAGGAAAATCAGAACCGAAATAATATTTTATCCTATGAGTCACTTATTGGAGCCTATTTTCTGATTTCTTTATAAATAATATTTCAATTTTTTTTATGTCTTATTATGACACTTTTTTCTCAAAGAGTATAGCTAGGAAGTTATTAGTCCAGATATGTCCTCACACACTGTGGTTTGTACATATAAAAAAAAAGAATGAAAAGTTGTTAAGGGCTAGATTCAATAAAATTCATAGACTTGAATACATCTGATTTGTTTGACCAGAAAATAGTAGTGTTGCAGTAAGCTAAATCATAAGAATGTTTACATGTATGTTAATTAAATGTTACAGTATCTTGCCATTAGTTTTTTTTGTTTAATTCTCACTTTTCAAAGTTCTCCAAAATATAATTTTTCTTCATGTTTAAGATAAAGTTTATGCAGAGAAGACTACTTGATTGGAGAGTTCTGTAGACAACATATACCTTAAACATATTCGAACAACATTTCAATGTGCTCGTACAAATCTTAATGTTTTCAAATTGGTTAAGTTCTTTCCATGAAATATTATTGAAACATGGCTATAATTGAGAGCTGGTAGGTGCAATCCCAAAAATGTGTAAAAAACTCATGAAATCAGTAGTTTTGTTTTTACAGTACACAGTTCTCAGTTACAGATACTTTTCAACAGTATTTTATGTACACAACCAATTTGACATGAAGGTCTGCACTAACAGCCCAAAATGTATTCAAAAAATACCTAAGGCAGAGGCAGTGCTTAGAAGTTTCCAATCAAGCACAGATTTGCTTCTTCTGAACTTATGGTAAAATTACATTGATTACTCTTTTTAGGCAGTTTCATACTCATCTTCTACAGTTTGATGGAGAAGGAAGTTGGCATTTAGAGCCTCTTGACACTAATACTCGCTTGTCTTTACGTGAAGAAAAAGAGAGGCTAGAAGCTCAATTAACTGGAGTTCCGCAGATGGAGGGAAGACTTCAAGAGCTCTGTACGCTTTTGGGAGAAGACTCTGTGGTTCTCCGGCGTCCCTCTGCTGATGGAACAGAGGATTCTCTCCAAGAGAAAACTCCAGTTGCTAACACAGAGCCCTTATCTGACTAACAATGCTAGAGGAAGTTATTTATTATAACATTACTTAACTTTTTGTGTATTCAGATATCTTCTTCAGCATGCAAAATTTACTATTAACTCATTTTAGATATAGAATAGGAAACTGTCTCAACGAACAGTGTGGATTTGTGACATTAACTTTCAACACTTGTTGTTTTAGTTGCCCACATGATACGATGTCTGGATAATTTCATTTTTTTTAAACTTGCATGATATCAAAGTACATTTTTCTGCATATACACTGACTGGACAGATTTATTTAATTACATGAGATTTTCAGTAAATTGTTGTTGTGCAGTTAGTGATGCTTTTTGCTCATTGTCATGTGCTGTTTATAGTTAAATCACAATTAAGGAAACTGGATACTCTGATTTTTTTTTTTTTTTAGGTTGGTGTTACCTAACTCAATGCTAAAAGGAGTTTCCTTTTCTCAATTATGCTTGAGTTATCATGTTTTCTTGAATTTTTATTTCCTCCTTTTGTGTTTTTGAGCTTGATGCATACCCTGAAAAGTGTAGATAATTATTAGACAGAATCCTTGTGTTTCTATCTTTATAGTTTCACAAAGCTACATTATCATACTTATAGAAAAGCAGAGATCCTGTTTATTGTTCATTAAGAACATGTACAAGAAACATTTTAATTGTCTGATGAAAGACAGCTAAAGTTGCATAAAACTGTCAAATAATCAATATATAAGTTTGTACATACAGCTGTACTGTTTTTTTTCACTATCTAAAAATAACTACTTATTTTAAAAATGAACATTCTCATGACTCATCGATGATATTACATCAAGACAAGCATTTTGAAGTGGTTTTTTTCAGGACTGATAATTGTATAATTATACATATATGTATAGAAATACAAAACTCGAAACAAATCAACAGAAATTGCAAATAGGCAAAAAATTCAGGAGCATGAACCAGATATGAACAATAAAATTAAATTCACACGCTACATCACAAATAGATAGATAAGAAAAAGAAAACATAATGCTTAGATTATTTTCATCAATGCTGGTGTTTTCTGATGTGACTTTTTATTAAAATACTAAATTTTTTCAACATTACTTCATGTTTAAATAATGAAAGAGAATGGAGAACAATCGCATATTCAAGCATTTCATATTGTCATATCAGGACATTAGGAATTGATGTGTTTGAAAGAAAATGAAGTTTGATAAAAAGAAAAAGGATAATGACACTTATGACAAGCAATGTTAACATCAGAAGGGATGCAGGTAACTGGTTTGGAATTCTACAGATTCCATCTTCGTTGTTGATAGATTATAGAAAATCCACAATAAAAACTCATTGCTGATAGATTATATAGTTCTAAACAATTAGCTAACAAAGCACGTTAACACTTTTACAAGGTGTGTTATTATTTGGATTTAAAAACTTGTTGGTACAGGAATCTTTAGTGTTTTAATAATATCAATAGTATATTTTAAAGAAATATGTTTGATAATGTTATTTAAATGTTATTTATTCAAGCATTTCATATTGTCATATCAGGACATTAGGAATTGATGTGTTTGAAAGAAAATGAAGTTTGATAAAAAAAAAGAAAAAAGGATAATGACACTTATGACAAACAATGTTAACATCAGAAGGGATGCAGGTAAATGGTTTGGAATTCTACAGATTCCATCTTCATTGATGATAGATTATAGAAAATCCACAATAAAAACTCATTGCTGATAGATTATATAGTTCCAAACAATTAGCTAACGAAGCACATTAACACTTTTACAAGGTGTGTTATTATTTGGATTTAAAAACTTGTTGCTACAGGAATCTTTAGTGTTTTAATAATATCAATAGTATATTTTAAAGAAATATGTTTGATAATGTTATTTAAAAGTGTTGGTTCATGTACTGTAACAGTCTTAATTGATAAATTTACTTGTTTATCATAGCAACAACTAAGTTCACTAAATCCTTTTTAGTTCACTTGTTATGGTTTTCACTAAAGGCACACAGAGTTCTGTAACTTTTTACACTTGTAAAGTACTGTTTTGTGCCTAAGGATTACTTATTTTTAAAATTCTCATGTCAGGCAGTTTTCTGTTGACATGCAAATGCTGTTTTTTTTGCTGATCACTCGGCAAGTTAATGTTGATTTTATGGACAGAGCATGCATCCTTAATATGTAAGGGAGGACTGAGTATGGTCTTTCAATTAGCATGCCAGACTTTGTATCGAGGGTCCATAGTTTGTATCCTTTTGTCACACAATTTCATTCCACATTCTGAGACCATGGAACATTATAATACAACAGTAAAATCTTATTATTTGATTAGAGAAGCCCAAAAGTTGGTGATGGGTGCTGTTGACTAGTTGTTTTCCTCTAGTCTCTTAGTTCAAAATTAGGGATGGCTAGTGCAGATAACCCTTGTGTAGCTTTGCACAAATATCTAAAACAAACAAACACAAAATATATAAGGGAAGGTTTTACAGTGTAGTAGATCAAAACAAAGTTTACAAGAAATGGTTTTTATTGTAGTGGACATCAAATAGGTGTTGATATTTATGTTATTGGTGTATTATGGTTTGTAAAAAGGAATTCAAGAGCACAAAGTTGTAAGTGACTATTTGAAATTGCTTTATGAAGCTATACTATTAATCATTTGCTTTTACATATAAAATACAAGTGTTATATTCTCAGTGTTTTAATACGTACTCTGTCTATTGAGTACTTTTAAAAAAACTTCATTAGAAGTGGAGAAACCTGAATTACTGGTACTTAGTATTCTTAAGGATAGTATTATTAAGTATTAAATCTTTCTTGTGATTTATGTGGTATTATGTACTTTAATTCATGTGCAACTTTGAAAGGGTTTTCTGTTGAAGTTATTTGAATATTCTGTTAATTGTATTAAGTAAACTGTAAAAGTAATATTCTCAAAAATTATATAAGTATAAAAATATTTAAAAATAAAAAAAAAAGAAAAGTGTAAGATAAAAAATACAATAAAATTACATTTTGCCACCATTAACGTGGCATCATCAAGTTCTTTACACAATGGAACACATCATATTAAAATACATCTAATAGCGACATCACGAACACAAACTTTATCTTAACATAGATATAAACCTATTCCTTGCATTTTATTTATTAGAGGTCTATTTTGTTTTATTGAAATAGCTTCTTTTATGATTGTTAATATTAAGTTCACAACAAATAATGTGGTGAAACATGGTTTTATTGTATTTTTTCTATCCCATTTTAGTTGTTTAATTGATACATCATGCTTTAAATTTATATGTAGCTCATTGAACTATTTGAGCAGTATTGGTCAAGAAGAATTTCAGTATTGATAAGCTAAATAAAAAGTGAAGTAATTAAGTTTTGTTGCCTTCATTTTTAAAGGGCGTATTAACAGAGTTGATGTAAGACAGATTATTGAAACATTTCCATAGATTATTTATACAATGTAACAGAACATTATGTGGTGACATTAAAACCAGTGTTGAATATACTAATAATTTGTGAATGTTACCAAAATGACAGATGGAGAGGTAATACTCTCATCATTTCATTGGAAAACTTGCATTGTTTCAAGACTAGTTTTGTTGACGTGGGATAGAAATAACTTACCTTTCTTGGTCTTCATTTACTGGTGGCAAATTCAGATTGTTATTTTTCATTTACAAGTTTTTACAATCTCTTGTTTTATGAAACATTAAAACATTCATTTCTTCAGAACAATTATGCATTCCATTTTCAACCTCGATTGTTTTATGTATCTATACAGAAAAAAAAGAGTAAAATGTTGTTTCTAAAATATTTTAGGCAGTATAGACATAGTTGAGTTTTGGCTTTAATGGACTGCTCCTGATTTGTTTCTGTATTGGGACTATTGTTTCAGCTTTTGTACTGAGGCCTTTTCTTTCAGGACTTTGACTTTATAAAGGCCTCCATATATAGAAGCCAAAATGTTGTCCTACTCTAGAAATTGGCAGGAATAATACATTTTAATATAAACCCAGTTGAGTAAAACGTTTTTAAATTTATGCAATTTTTTTAAACTCTTAGTTATAACTATTACATTCTAGTTTCCACTAGAACAGGTTTTAAGTTTATGGAAGTTTAATGATGAGGTACTTTTTAATAAATTTAGTACTTGTGAAGAGAGAGAGAGGTTTCTATTTGTTCAAAAAATCCTAGTGGAACATTGTTTAGCATTGAAAACATTTTACTTTAATTTTACATGTAAATTACAGTGAATTTCTTGATTTTATTTTGTAAAATTCTTCCTTAAATTAATATTTTGTTATACCATTTTAAGTTTTATATAATAAATATATATATATATTTGTTTTAAAAATGAAAGTAACAACAAATGTAACTTGCATAAGCCATACTAAGTAAGAACATTAGTAATATTGATTGTATTAAGCAGTGCCCTTTGGTTTAAATTCTTTAATTAACAAGTTAATAAAAAACGTATTTAATGCAGTTCAAAATGTATGCCTTTAGTGGTTTTCGTGAATTATTGTAAAACAATAAAAAAAATTGCCTACCATTTTAATGTTAACATTTTATAATTTATTGAAACAGGAAGATGTAACCAGCTTATTTGTATATGTAGTATATTAATAAACAAATTATTGATGTTTTTATTTATACAGGTTTTGGTGAATGGAAAATAAATGAAAAGCATTTTATAGTTGAAGAGATAATGTATTTATTTACATATATTTATTTTTTGGTCTTTTTCGTTGTTTCTCATAAAAAATATACAAGTCTGATAAAGTTATTTTCAAAAGTTAAAAGGGTAAAATTAAACCTGATTTTAAGAAGATTTCATTTATGAAATCTAATATTAAAATTTCTACACCCTCGGAAAACTGAACACGTTTTTATTGTGATGTTCTAGCAGCTTCCTGAGCACATCTTTGAACCAAAATATAGAAATAATTTTCTGGAATTGTCATGGTAATTTCTAAAGTGCATATTTTCAGTTTTGTTTTTATTAGTGGAAAAAAAAAATCATTTGAATAAATTTGGCACAATTTCGTGATCACTGGCACTCAACTGACTTTTGACCAGATTTGTGTTTAGATGACACTTGTGACTATATTATAATTACAAATTTTAAAGTTTGTTTTCATTCTTGAAACCGTATTGTAGACTTATCTAGCCCTTTTGCAGTATTTTGAGTTTATTTAATTAGTAATGAAATGAGAGGCCCAATATGTTATTCAATTCACCACTTGTTGTTAAGTTAAACTGATTTTGTGGAATTCTACTCTATGTCAGTAATTCTGGACAAAGGCGTGTTGTAAAAAAAAAGATGACACTTCTTATAGCGATGATTTTTACATATACTATGTTTGGGATTTCTTTTATTCGTCATGGAGAATCTGTATTTGTATAGGTTTTAAAAAGTGTATAGTACATATGCTACTAATTTATTATTATAAATGTTTTAAAATTTTCATAAAATTTTGAAGGGACAAAAAAAGGAGCTTATTAGCTCATCAAGGATGTCCCTTCCAGTTCCCAACTATAACCACCCCTTAATACTCATGTATTCATCCAATCTTTTCTTGAACTCTGTTAAATTTTCTGCTTCCACCACCCCTAAAAGGCAGCTCATTCCAAAAGCCAACCACTCTGTTTGAAAAGCTGTCTAAACTGCAGATGACTCCTATACTGCTAAAATTTGAATTAATGACCTCTTGTCCTATTATTTTCACTGCTAAACACACAAAAGTTTGATGGATCTATACTATTCATACCCTTATTAATCTTAAACACTTCAAGAAAATCCCCTCTGACACTTCTCTCCAGAGAAAACAAGTTTAGAGATTTTAGTCTCTCCTCATAGGATAATCCCACCATTCCAGGTATCATATTAGTGGCTCTTCTCTGAACATTCTCCAACAATTGAATGCCCTTCTTGAGGAACGGAGCCCAAAACTGTACACAGTACTCTAAATGAGTCCTAACAAGTGATATATACAGTGAAACAATAATATCCCTTGTTTTGTATACAATATTTCTATAGATGCTACCCAAAATCCTATTTGCCCATTGCTAGCTACAATACACTGTTTAGATGACTTAAGTGATTTTTTTTATCACAACACCAAGATCTCTTTCTTCAACCACAGTATTTAATG